GTGGAAAAATGGGAATTAACCGTGGGAAAGCTGAATAATAAATGATGGGATTTTTCTGTGGAATGCAAAAATCAAATCGGGATTTGAATCCAAAGAAATTCCAAAGGGGATTTAATGGGAAGGGAGGGAAAAGGAGGAATTGGGCCGGAAAGTTTAATTAATAAAGCATTAATTAATAAACACTTAATATTGATTTACTGTTAAGAAATAGAAGAGGGCTTGGATAATTCATAATTTTTGAATTTTTAGGGATTTTTTTTAGGGAATTTTTAGGGAATTTTTATCCAGCTCCAGGCTTGGATCATCCTGGAATTTGAGGCTCTTTTAGGACTTTTTTTAGGACTTTTCCCACCCAAACCTTTCCCGAATTCCCGATAAAACCTCCCACAAATCTTTTTCCAGGCGATAAAAATAAAAATATTCCCAAGGACGAGCCCATCCAGGCTTCCCTCATCCCATAAAAATAATAAAAAAAAAAAAAAACCGGAATTTCCATTGATCCCCGATGGGAGCAGGGCGGAGGATTTGATTGGTTAATTAATCAACCATATTTAATTAATTAACCAATGACCCGTGAATGTCGGGATAATTAAAGATCTGGGACAAAAGCGGCTCGGGAATGTTTGATTCCAACCGGGATCATCGGGGAAAAATGAGGTTTAAAGCCCCGGCTGAAGGAATTTTTCCATGGAAAAGCAGAATTCCCGGAGCGTGGGAAGGGATGAGGATTAATTAATCCGGTTTTGGGGGGTGGTTTGAGTTAATTAATAAAAATTCTCATGGATATCCCCCCATGGAAAAAAACTGGGAAAGGTGACAATAAAAAATGTGGGAATGAGGTGGGATGGGATCTGGGATCAAGCAAAAAAAATTAGGGAGAATCCACGAAAAAAAAAAAAAAAAGGATTTGAAATAAGCGGGATGTGAAATCCCAGAGCGGATCCCACAGGGAATTATTCCATAAAATATTCCCGGGAAATCAGGGGAGACTCAGCAAAAAAATTCCTCGGGCTTTTGTCAGAATTCCCACAAATTCCAGCTCGGCAGAGGAGGGAAAACGGGAACGGCTCCCAAAAATAATTCCAAAAGGATTTCCTGGGAATAGCAGGGAGTGGGAGAGGAAAAGGAGGGAAAAGTGAAGGAAAATCCATGGAAAAGGGGAGGGGAATGAGCCCGATCCGGCCCCGCTTCCCTTGGAGCAGCGATCCCGGAATTAATCCCATAAAAAATGGGAGAAATTCCAGAGATTCCAGCTGGGAACACCCGCTGAGCTCTTGGAGAATTCCAAAATTCTGGGATCGCTGAGGTTGGGAAAGAATTCCCAGATCACCAATCCAAGCTGGGCTCGATCCCCACCAGAGCCCTGAGTGGAATTCCAGGAATTCCTTGGATTCCTCCTGGGATGGTGACTCCAAACCTCCCTGGGCAGCCCCAGCCAAGGCCTGAGCGCCCTTTCCATGGGAAAATTCCCAAAAATCCCAGCGGAGCCTCCCCTGGGCCAGCCTGAGGCGTTCCCTCTTTTCCCGGGGCTCATTCCCGGCAGCAGATCCCGCTTTTCCCGCTTTTCCCTGCACGGATCCCTGGCAGCCCCTGGGCCCTT